TCAATCATTCTAATAGAAATATTATAAAATATAATTCATGTAATTATAAAAATAAATCATAGATTTGATATTATTGTTATTATGATAGATCTAAATTTTCTTAATCATATAAATTACTTAAGCCTCTAAATAAAAATTCTTTATATAATTGTTTTATATTATTTAATAATATATTAATAAACCTTTCTTTCAATCTTCTCTTCTCTCTTTTTCATACTTTAATCTTTTTTTTACATAGTATCAGAGTCATGAGCTGTACAACATATAGTAGCTTTCTTAGTTCCCGTTTTCATTTTTGCAAACTTCATCTATTTTATTAGTTGCTTTCGTTTTCAATAAAAATAAAAAAGGCCATATTTCTCCTTTAGTTCCTGTTTCGATTTTTCAAACCATTCTCAAAATCCATGATTTTCTTTTCATGTTCTTTTTAGTTCATTTGATTGCCGCTTAGACATAAAAAAAAATCCATAGTTTTTATTATTAATTTTTTTCGCTTCCGTAATCTTTTCAGTTTTATTTTCTATTTTAGCAATTTTTATTATTGTTAGTGTCTCCTAGTTTCAAAGAAAAAAAAAAAAGAACTTCAATAAAGTAAAGAAAGAATCAATTAGAAGAAAAAGAAAAATTAAAAAGATAAAGTACGACAATGTAAATATATATTACATTTTCATTCTTTCCTTCTCAATACATTTGCAAGAGTACAAGCTCTATATAGAGTGGCCAAGAGGTGATATGAGTTATAAGGAATAAATACTCACTAAATGAGAGGTTACAAGAATTAATTTCTTACTAATTAAGGGGTTATAAAAAATCTCATTATTACAATTTTAATGCATGGCATTATGAGGTGTTAATCACCATTACAATTTCATGGAGGTAATGGAAGTCACACCATTAGTTGGTGTGTAAATGTCATGAAAAGTGGGGACGTGAGAAAATGAAAAAGGTAAAACAACCACAATAAATTGACTCATAACAAGAACTCCCTTGATTTGATTGTTGGAACTCCTTAATTAATTTTGGCCAAAATAATTGCTCCATTAGTTCACAACGTGTTCTGAATGAGCCAATTTTGTTTTACTTTGATTTTCTGTTAATTTAGTTTTCGTATACTTCTTCACCTTTTCTAATAATCCTTTCTATTTCAAATTACTTTATGCGTTTGCATCCTCCATCACAAGTGTTAACTTATTCTTTCTCAAAGTCTTCTAATTCTCTTTTTCTACCTCCTTATTTTCCTAAACCTTTATTCTCCAATTTAATCTTTTATAGTTGTCTCCTATCTCATCATATAATGTCCCGAATTGCATATAAGTGGGGATTTGTGAGTGAGTATGGTATATAAGTATGGAGATCAATCATTACTAATACCTTTAACTTTAACTTTTTAACTTTTGAGAGTTTGTGGACCTTAGCATAAAGAGTTGTTTGGCTAATGGTGAGCTTAGTTTGTATCAGAGTGGTCACCTTTTGTACATGTGGGTCCAAGCTGACTATCGTAGGATATTAGGTGTGGGCCCATGTAAGCCAATGGTAGTGTGGATTGTAATGCCTCGAATCCCACATTAGTAGGAGTTTATAAGTAAGTTTGACATATAAGTGTGAAGACCAATAATTACTAACATCTTAAGTTGACCTTTAACTCAAGTCATTTCACATAATCTATTACTTCAGTTTTCTCTTTTAGCTCCCTTCAATAAACAAAAGCTTTTAGGTGTGTCTATCTTTAAGATTTCTTCTTTCCTTTCACTCACATATTGGCTTCAAGATCAAGACATATTAAGTACTTAGTTATAGACACATCATAACTATTTGCCGTATCAAACTCTGGTTGGTCAAACCACCTTAAGTTTGAGCAGAATGATAGAGATATTATAAGAAATTATTTAGGTAATTATGAAAGTAAATTATAAATTTGATATCATTGTTATTATGGTAGATCTATGTTTTCTTGGTTAATAAGTTAGCTAAACTTCTATATAAAAGCTTCTTTTGTAACTGTTTTATGTCATTTAATAATATATCGATATGCCTTTCTTTCAGGGATCTTTTCTCTCTTTTCCATGATTTAATTTCTTCTATACATTTTTTCAGGAAATAACATGGAAAGATTTACTGTAAGAATACATTAAAATTGTCGAAATGATAGGTCTCACACCAAAACGAACAATAAATGCTCCTTTATTTGTACCACACTTCTTACAAGAGACGTAATAAATATTTGTTTGCCAAAATGATATATGTAGATTGGAACATAAGGTTTACATCAAACTTAATCCATTAAGAATATATAAAATATTTTTTTTATATATTTAGCACTCTCAACTAAGACATGTTAAGATATTGTAATTTCAAATCTTTTTATATGAAGATTGATGATAAAGAAATAGGAAATGATTGATACATACTTAGATCGATACATTTTTAGACACTTATTTGTTTCAATTATTAAAAATATAATGTTTATACAGTCAATTATTACATCTTATGTGTATGAGTATATTTTTAAGTTTGTTTGCTTTTAATTTTAAATTAAAAAATAATAATTTTTTAATCAATATATTGTGTAATATTTTAAACCAAAACGTATATGATCACTGTCTCAAGTGAATCATAAAGAATGTTGTAATTTACATTTTTAAATTTATCTACATTTAATTTACATAAAAAAATATTATAATTTGTAAAAGAAAATACAAAAGAAGGGGTGATTATTTTGGTGTTTACGGATAGTTATCAACTGTTGGTTTAATTAAATAAATTAAATATTTTTAGTTATAAATAATAATAATTATTAATTATCAATTACTAATTATTAATTATCAATGACATTTCTTTTCTTTTCTTTTAAAAAGGGAAATTAAAGAGAAAGAGAAATGTCATTTATAAGATTTAAAAACACAATCCACAAAAATGAAGGCTAAAATCAACTTTAGCCCCTCACCTTACAAAATTAGTAGGTTTTAGCCTCTAATCTTATAATATAACACTTTTAATCCTTTACCTTACCAAGTTGGTAAGTTTTAGCTCCTTACCTTACAAAATTGATAGGTTTTAACTCTTCACCTTATACTATGACACTTTTAGCATACTATGACACTTTTAGCCCATTATATGTACGAATTGAAGAAAATAATATTCACTTAATATTATGTTATAATATTCTGTTAGTTCTATTAGCTGACAATTTATTTTGTTAGTTGAGTATTAGCATCTATTAGCATTCTGTTAATGAAATTAACATATAAAATTGAATTTAAATTTCATATTTTTTTATAACGAAATGCTAATGGATATTAACAGTTAACTAACAGAACTAACAGAACTAACAGAATGTTATAAATTAATGTTAGGTGATGGTTATTTTCTTCAATTCGTATAGATGAGGGGCTAAAACCTACCAATTTTATAAGGTGATGGGCTAAAACCTACCACTTTTGTAAAGTAAAAGGCTTAAAGTGTTATGTTATAAGATGAGGGACTAAAACTTACCAATTATGTAAGGTGAGGGGCTAGATATTGGTTTTTGCCCAAAAATGAACCCCACTTAAACAACGTATCAATTATTGGGGCAGGGCGTGGGATCATTATCATTTACATTTCAATCTCTTTAATTCAATCTCTTAAAATCATTTTATGTGGGGCGGCCACGTATGCATGATGTTGATAATCCGTAATAAAGTTCCAACTGCCAGGTGTCTACATGCTGCTATTGACGTTGGCAAAAACCCATAGATTACCCTTCAAGTTTTCAAGTGTGTGAAATTTTATCCCTTACTTTATAATATGTGATTTTGTACCCTTATGATATTTAAGTTTATGATTTTATGCCCTCATGATATTCGAGTTTATGTTGTTATACCCTCCTAGAGTTGTAAGGTGAAAGGTGAAGTTCCACACACTCAAATATCAGGAGGATATAAAATCATATCAAAAGGATATAAAATCACATATTATAAGGTGAGGGGTAAAGTTTTACACACTCAAAAAATTAAAGGTCAATCTGTGGGATTTTACCCACTGACGTTAGCTTCCAGAACGCGCGAGGCGCGACCCATAAAGCGGTGCAAATTACATTTCAGTAGTAATAAAAATCGAAAATAATAGCTTAATTGAATAATTGGTCTATTAATTAATTATTTTATTTTATTTTAGTTTAAA